AAAAGAGGACTTTGGACCACTGTGCAACTGTCCAGTGCTTCTTTTCCTTAGCCCAAGTCAGACGCCTCTTCCGTTGTCTTGAGTTCAGAAGTGGCTTGACCATGGGAATACGGCTATTGTAGCCCATTTCCCGGACACGTCTGTGAACAGTGACTTTTGATACCTGGACTCCAGCTTCAGTCCACTGTCTTTGAAGCTCCCCCAAATTCTGGAAGCGACTCTTCTTCACAATGCTGTTAAGGCTGCGGTCATCTCTCTTGGTTGTGCAGCGTTTCCTGCCACATTTCCCCCTTCCAACAGACTTTTTGTGGATGTGCTTTGAAACTGCACTCTGTGAACAGCTTGCTCTTTGAGAAATTTCTTTTTGTGTCTTACCCTCCTGATGGAGGGTGTCAATGACGGTCCTCTGGACAGCAGTCAGATCAGCAGTCTTTACTGAACTAAGCTGAGTGTTTTTCAAGGCTCAGGAAACCCTTGCAGGTGTTTCGAGTTAATTAGACGATTCAAGTGATTCGTTGAACACCCTACTAGTATACTTTTTCATGATATTCTAATATTTAGAGATAGGATATTTGAGTTTTCTTAAGCTGTATGCCATAATCAGCAATATTAAAATAATAAAAGGCTTGCAATATTTCAGTTGATTTGTAATGAATCCAGAATGTATGACATTTTTGTTTTTTTAATTGCATTACAGAAAATAAAGAACTTTATCACAATATTCTAATTTTCTGAGACAGTCCTGTACATATCATATACTCCTACAGTGCAAAAAATGGGACTAATGGCACTCGTGGCAATTTTCTAGTAAACAAATGTTGAATGGATTGCCATTTACACTCATGGTCCCCAGATGATGTATCCTGCTGGACTTTTCGATCTTGCATCAATAACTTATGGTCTTTGAGGACTGTTGTGATTGCCAGTTTGACCTAATCACACTGTGGATTGATATACTCAAAAAGGACTTCAATAGACTGGTCTTTCCTGAGATAAAATCTGCAATTCATCAACAAGTCTGATCAAAGCAAAGCATGAACCTGCTGCTTCTGACAGTAAAACTGCACCTATCAGTCAGGAGAGGACCAGAGGCACCTAGGCCGAGAGCAAGAGCTGAATTCTAAACATTTGCATACCATGAGACTCATTACTTGTTCGGATTTCAAACTGCCAGAAGTTGAGGTACTGTAACTTTTGGTCAAATTTGACACAGTATTTAAAAACTACGCCACAGATTTTCAACACATTCACTTTTTACAAATGACATATTTTTCACCAGCCCTTCTAATTTTTGGTTGTGATCCAATGACTTACAGCAGGGACCCGCTCTGAGGCCCAGTCCCACTGCTGCCACTGGGCCGGCCCCCCCGCCTCACACTCTGAGTCTCTGTCCCAGTCTGAGTCCAGGGCTGATACACTCTGAGTCTGCACTGGAGTCATCGTCCTTCTTTTTATTCTCCTTTTGTCTTGTCTCGAGTTACTGTCCTTTTGGCAACTTGTTTTATCTGTGTCTGCTTTCCTTTCCTTCATATTGTTCTGTTTACAGATATCAAAAGCAGTGGATCGAGTCCATACACACACACACACACACACACACACACACACACACACACACACACACACACACACACACACACACACACACACACACACACACACACACACACACACACACACACACACACACACACACACACACACACACACACACACACACACACACCGGTCACACACTCCGGTCACACGCTCATGTTCTGCCTGCAGCAGCAACAGCTTGAGAGTTTAACTGTTGCAACAATGTATTATTGATTTCAGGATGGAAAGCAAAATGACGACCCCCTTCTTATATTATCCTTTTTTAATGTGCATTCTTCATGTTGCACAAACCCAACATATGTTCTCAGGAAGAGGCTCCTGTATCCAAAAGGAAGAAGTAGACTTTGTAAAAGATGATGAAGTATTATGAAGTCAATTAATTCCAAAACCATTGATGGTCGTCTCAGAATAAGGCAGGAGGTTCTTTGTCCATGATGTTCTGCTGGATCTCACACATTGTAGATCATTATCATCAGATCACTCCAAGGAACAGCCTGGCTGCAGGAGGAACTCTTCTGTCTGTGCAGAAAGTTCTCTTCTTCACGTTAGTCCATCCGCACCATAACTCCACACACACTTCTGATGTCCAACTTAAAAACAATTTATAGAAAAAAGAAGAGGTACGACCGGAGCAACATGTGGATACATAATCCTGAGATTCCTCGTCAGACTGAGCTGTGTGACAGCGCTGAGGGTTTGGAAACAGGAGGAGCCAGAGTGAGTGTGTTATTGGTCTAAGAAGTGAAAGAAGAGAAAGAGGGCAGGGGGGGGGAGGTCCTACAAGGGTCTGGGTTTACTCAAGGTCATCTGGAGAGTGTGTGTGTGCGTGTGCTTATGAGTATTTGTTTACCATTGCCCAGTCGCTGCATGGTTCTACTTTAGATGTTAAGTTTCACTACTCTCCTGTTTATTCTTTTTTTTTCTCTAAATACTCCTTTGGCCTGTCAGTATAAAGCAGACTGTGTCCCACGACAACCACAACAACAGGAAGTGTAGGAATCAATGCACTTCCTCCGTGTGTGTGTGTGTGTGGTCTAGCATTACTATACTTGTGGGGACCTAAGTCTGTTTACACATTCACGTGTGGGGACTCACCTCCCCTATGGGGACAAAATGGAGGTCCCCATGAGGGGAATCATTAATTTTAGGGTGAAGACTTGGTTAGGGTTAGGGTTAGATTGTGGAAGAGTGTAGAGCTCCGGAGGAGCCCTGCGTGGTGCACTGGCTCTCGGTCAATAGGCGTTTAAAAAAACATTAAAAATCTCCATAAACATAGCCCTATTAAGAAAGTGCGGGACGGGGCTGGACCACGGAACGGCGGCAGAGTATGTTAAAAAGCAGATCTCCCCAACCCAGGATCTCTGGAGGGGGGCGGGGCGCGTGCGCACGCGTGTGTGTGTGTGTGTGCGTGTGCGTGTGAATGTGTGCAGGTGTGCGTGCATGTGTGTGCAGGTGTTGTGTGCGTGTATGGAGCTCGTCCCAATGGAATCAGTAAAATAACTTAAATGAGAAGGGGATCTAAAATGGTAAATTTAAGAGTGATTCCAGTTATGTTAGTTAAAACCATGCATTAAATACATTTAATCTCCCCAATAATCAAACTTAAGTAACTATAAATACATTTAAAAGTAAAAGGAGTGTTAAAATTAAACTAACAATAATAAAAAGAGGGAAGGGGGGCACACCGGGTTAGTAAAATCGTATAAAATGAACTAGATGTCACTGGAAAATAAAAACCACTAAGATCAAGGTCAGGTAAGTTTAAAAGATTCCAAAGGACAGGTGTTTAGTTTGCTCTGTTTATTTTAATAAAAAGGTGGCAGGTCATTGAAGAGTTTCTCTGCGGGTGGTTTTCTGGCCTCCAGGTAATGGTTAGGGTTAGGCATGTGTTGGTTATGGTTAAGGTTAAGATAAGTTTCCAGGAAATGCATGTAAGTCAATGTAATGTCCCCTGAAGTGATGTATACATGGTATGTGTGTGTATGTGTGTTTGTGTGTGTGTGTGTGTATGTGTGTGTGTGTGTGTGTGTGTGTGGCCTAGCATTACTATACTTGTGGGGACCTAAATCTGTTTACACAGTCACGTGTGGGGACTCGCTTCCCTTATGGGGACAAGTTGTAGGTCCCCTTGAGGGGAATCATTAATTTTAGGGTGAAGACTTGGTTAGGTTTAGGATTAGGGTTAGGGTAAGGGTAAGGGTAAGGGTAAGGGTAAGGGTTAGGGTTAGGCATGTGTTGGTTATGGTTAAGGTTAGGATAAGTCTCCAGGAAATGCATGTAATGTCCCCTGAAGTGATGTATACATGGTATGTGTGTGTGTGTGTGTGTGTGTGTGTGTGTGTGTGTGTGTGTGTGTGTGTGTGTGTGTGTGTGTGTGTGTGTGTGTGTGTGTGTGTGTGTGTGTGTGTGGTTGTAGGGAATTCTGATATTGTGGGAAAACGTACAATGTTGTGTTAAATGTTAGGTTGAAAAAATGATGAAACTCCACATTATTTTGATAAAAATACGTCATGACTGGTGGCTTTATGTTGTTGCTAAATCATATTTTAAGTAAATAATAAAGGTAATGTCATGGAGAACGTAAAGGGAAACATTTGACACAAGTGACGTTCAAAGCTTGTATACAATAGAATTATAATTGCTTCCTGTAATCCCCCATTGATTAGGGTGACTCATATCAATGTATCATTAAGCACATTGAGGCTGCCACTGTCTGTTCCTCCTTGGAGATGTTGCTGTAACAGTGTATTCATAATTTTTCCTGCGGTTAAACTGGAGAAAGCTGACAACTTTTCACCATTGCAGTATAGAAATATTTTTCTGCTATGTTTTGGTCGTAAACAAAGTACTGTATAGCCTGGGCCTCAGTGAACTGGACATTTATACATCTTGTCCAGTAGCAGCAGATATATGGATTGTGGTTCTTTCTATTCTTACAAAAGCAAACACTCTTAAAGAGGCCCTATTGTGCTTTTTGTAATTGTCCCTTTCCTGTAGTCTGTTATATACAGTAGGTTTATGTGCATTTAGGTCTACAAATAAAAAAATCCCTCCAGAGGGAGTTTCCTATTTTGTACCTCTTCCCATGAAATGATTGTCACAACGTGATTTATTCAATCTTGACACGTTATTAATCAACCTCTTCCAAACATACCACAGTGAAAATTAAATGGGAATTAAAGAGAGGAATTTGTCTGAAAACTAAATTATTCCAACGTTATGGGCAACCGTGTCTTTGAATAAAGGACTGCATTATCAACAGCAATTAGCCTGAAGACTTTGAGCCCATACCCCATTCAACTGGTAACAAGGGAAAGGGCAACTAAGGGTAACAGTAATAAAAAAGTGAAAACATGTCCCACATGCTGCAGAGAGAGACACACTGTGAGACACAGGCCGTTCTGCCTCAGTCAGCTGCAGTTTGACACTGGTCAGCTGTACAATGTCGCTTTTTGTCAGTTTTGTGTGGATTTTCTGCTGAGGCCGAACACAGGCTGGGTGAACTATGACCCAGGCATAGAATGGAAGCTTGAGAAAATCTCTCCCACACGCAAATACAGTGTGGCCAGCAAAAGACACACACAGAAGTATGCACTAATTATGAAGAAAGATTCACACACTAGGGGAAAAACATCACAAGCAAACGTCTTTTTACTGGGAATTAAAGCAAAGCAACCTATTATCTGGATGAAATCCTGCTACAACTTTGTGTGATAAATGTAAAAAACTAAATAAACAACCAAAATATAACAGGTTGTCTCTGTTTCGAAATGCTGACTCTATTATTCTCTGTATCTATTATTCTCTGTATCTTATCATTAATTTCCACCCTACTTTGGCCTTCTCTGAAAGGGGAAATGCACAACTCATCATGCTAACAGCCAGTTGGGCGTTTCTCTGTCCTATAGTGTGTCATATAGGTTTTTGTGCATGTGAATGGTCTGCAAAGGCTAGAAGTGTTTCTCCCACCCCCTGAAACACCTCCATTACACTCCTTTGTTATAACATAGTGACATGACTATGTAACAATTGCGCTTCTATTGGGTAGCGCAACATATTGTACGTGATCGGCTAAGGTGCGTGACATCTCTAAGAGGTGGACCAATCACAACAGAGCCGGCCAGCTAACCAATCAGAGCAGACTGGGCTCTGGTTTCAGACAGAGGGTGAAAAGAGGTGCTGCAGCACAGGCAGTATGAGAACAATAAAGAGCTTTTGAACATTAAAGCATGGAGACGTGCTCTAAACGCATGTATCTCTAATACCATATCATATCATAATAAAAAACATCACATAAGAAAAAGGTTGACAGTAGAAGAAACAAAGGAACTTACATTGTACCAGCTCGGACTTTTCTGTTGTCACAGGGAAGCATGGTGGAGGTGTTGGGGAAGGGAGAAGAGAAAAAGAGAAAGAGGAAGAACTTCATTAATACAATCATTCATAGTAATACATTCTCAACAGTGTCATTAATGCAAAGTACTTTAGAGATCAATAATATGTCTCAAAATAACATTTCTAACGTCTACCTGAGCTTCCTTAAAGCAGATAATAGAGTTGGACTTACAGAGTTTAAAGCTTGACTAATACATCCAGTTGTTTGCAGTGAGATTGGGTCTTTATAATATCCTAACCAATTACACATGTGCCACAATGAGACAATGTTACCTTGCAGAAATAAACGCAAACATGTGCATTTCTTCCAGTTATTACATTCGGTGACAAAGAGAAAATGTAAACATGCATCATTATCCCAAAACAGGACTCACATACACCGACCCGAAAGACCTTTTCATTTGTAGGAATCATCAAAAATAACAAAACAACAGTATCAAAATGTACAAAACACACTGTGTGTATCTCACACTTACATAATACTTGTATAAGTTGCTTAAAACAGTGACAGCCTTAGCAGGAAACTAAGTAGACTTTTACTGGGGACTGATGCTTATTCAAAGATTGGCGGACACATTTCAGCTCTGTTACAGACTCTGTCAAATAAGCAGAAGAAATCAAACAATATTCAGACATGTTTAGGCAA